TCTTCTTCTTCTTCTTCTTCTTCTTCTTCTTCTTCTTCTTCTTCTTCTTCTTCTTCTTCTTCTTCTTCTTCTTCTTCTTCCTTTGAATATACTTAGTACAGGGTCTCACTACACAGATCAGACTTGTAGTGATTCTTCTATTCACAGCTTCTCAAGTGCTGGTATTACAGGTATGTGCCACCATGCCCAGTCTCAATTGCCTTCTCAGCATGCCCCAAGGGTGGGCTTGGCATGCATGTCAGGGATCAACCCCTGGTCCCTGCATCTGCTTAAGCAGGTGCTTTAGTGTGCTGAGCTATTTGGCTGGCCTGTGCTCAGGGTTCTTACACAGCCAGATTCTTGTTCTCCTATAAGCAGAGCTGCATACACTCCAGGAAAACCAGCAGGCCCATATCCCTTCTACTGAATCTGGAAGAAAGGAAAACTCCCTGTCATCATGGAGCATTGGAGGAATTTGGGCATTGAAGTCAGGCCAACCAAGTTTCCTCCCCTCCTAGCTGCATAGCCTGTTTTGTACACTATTATGAGATTATAGTAAGGAGCAAGTAATAGTACTTGTGGGAGGCATTTGAACATGACCTGAATTCTTTTCCTGTTCCCTCATATCCTAATTGTTCCCAAAGGGTAGCAATTATGAATCATTTTCAATATCAGAAATATATGCATATGTGTGTACTTCTGTCCACACATGTACATACATATATGCATAAACATACATATATGCATGAATATCTTCTGAGTAGAATACACATCAAATTATTTTTAAAGGTAGTAGAAGATAGCCTCATTCTTTGCCTCATCCCACTGTAGGGAGAATTTGAAGTAACTCTGAATGCAATTTAGTTCTGTACAAAAACTTCGGTTGTGGTTTAATTTATTCATTATGATAAAAGCATCTTCCTTTTACATTATGGTACATACATGATTTATAATAGCATCATGTATTTTAAAAGATGTTTTAATTTATTTTAATTAACAATGTTCCAGCTACTATGCTATATTAGATATTTTATGTATTATGAAACATATAAATAAATGCATACATATTTGAACCCTCAAGTACACAGTAGTGTTGTTTTAATTATTTGGGTGAATGATTATGGCATAGAAAGATTAGATAAATTATCCAGTATCACATAGCTTGTAGGTTATAGCTCAGACTAACACTTGTGTTTTTCAACTTTAGAGTCTGGCTTAAAGTCTTTTTGAAGGGGAGGCTTCCTACCCAAGAGAGATTACTGGTACTTAACCATATTTATAATCCAGAGGCCTTTTCTTGTAGCTCTTCCCCTAAATCCCACTCTGGCACATGCACACATTAGGTGCCTGAAAGTGTGGGATGCCCATTATCAGGTGACAGAATACAGTGGCAAAGCTTGGCTGTGTATATGCACAAAGCTTTCCTGAGATTGTTCCAAGTTGTCACTGCTCAGGTGAAGTTTCTGACCAAGTACATGCTGGGCACAAACTAAGAGCAGACAATGGAGAGGTCACATTCTCTTGGGTGATATGCAACTGTCACTGCACTGCCTTGTTTTCACAGAATGAGCAGTAAGGACTGGAAGAGCTCATACTGCCAAGGAATTCCTGTACAATGTAGCACAGCTGCCTGTTGAGCCAGTTGGGAAAACCTTTCTATGGAAATCAGTGCAGTTTTCCTGGAGCTTACCTTCTCTGTGGCTATGCTGTGAAGGAAGCCAAATGTGAGGGACTGTTTAGTTTGATTAGCATCAAATACTTTCTAAGCATCACATGCATGCCTGAAATTTTGGATTTAGGTGGTCAAGAGTCAGGCACATTATTAGTGCTCTGGTGAAATTTCATTATATTTTGTTATGGTTTGTATCTAGGTGTCCCTCCAAAGCTTCCTGAAGTCAAGGGACAGACTTTAGAGTTTGTAATAAATTCATGGTCCAAATATGGGATTATGGGTGTGAGGGCTACACCCACCCTGGGGCTGATAGCCTGAAGACAATATAAAGAAGGCAGAGAGGCTTGCCTCTGCCACTGCTGTGGCTGCTGCCCCTGCCCTTTCGTTCTTGCTGTTTTCTAACCAGTTACTGTTGACCTCTGCCATGTGCCACTATGCCGGGGAACAAGCTGAGTATGGACTAAAACCTCCATGAACAGTGAGCTAAATATTTTTCCTTCTTTAATTCTGAGTGTCAGGTATTTTATCCCAGCAATGAGAGAAAAGTAACCAAGAGATGCTTGATAGAAGCAGAAAAATGCAGAGGATGAATAAAAGGCATTCCTTAGTCTTTGTTTTTCTATGGATCACACTGCTTTTTTAGAGCCAGATGAAAAAATATAAAGTGGGGCAAAATGGATCATTGACCATGCCAGTGGGATGAATCAGTAACAAATAATGGAGCTAACAACAGTGAAAGGAAATCAGTACTTATCTTACTGACATTTCAAAACGCCATAGAAATGACCATTCGGAATAACATATGATTTTATAGTCCCTAACAGTCAATTGGGTCTTATTTTCCTACCATAACCTGTGTAGCTATCAATATATTTGCATACTGGATGTAAATGATACTATTTTGGTAACAGTTGAGCTCCTTTATCTTTGTTCAAATTAAATAAACACGGAATTTTTTTTTTTGGAGGCCTTTTAAAATGTTCTTGTGCTCTATGTAAAACTGATTCTAAATGGCACATGCTTATGTGTGGGCAAATTATTACACAAATAACAAAGCACCTTTTTATATAATTAAAACAAACATAAAACTGGCAAACTGAATCAATGATGACAGAGGAAGAAAATCAAATGGATCTAAAATTCCATTTATTCTACAGTTCTATGAACAAAAATTTAGGAATGCACACCAAGTAAAGGCTTGCAAGAAAGACTTAAAAACTAAATCTGTTGTATCCACAGGAAGATGTAGAGCACAACTTTAGGCAAGTTTGGGCAGTTTGATTCACCAAATTCTCTTTTCTGGTGTTTTACACATGCTACAAATCTAAATACTCCCAGGATGCTTGTTTGAATAGCAAAATCAGTAGATCATGCCCAATTTAACATTTTAAAAATAGGTTTGTTGTGTATGTGTATTAAAGAGCGACATATCCTTTGTTATCTGAGAAGAAAATTGAAAAGAAAATTATGCAATGTCTAATTTGGGCTGCTGGAGGACTGCTTTAGTGCTCTTACTCTGGATGCTTTTTAATTTTGCCTCAAAGTCAGTGACAGCAGCTTTTCCTCCACAGATTCCGCCCACTCAGAATGTACGTTCTCATCTGGAATGGGCTTTCCTTTCTCCCATGCCAGCTAGTGCATAGCTGCTCTCCCCACTTAAATAAAGGATATAGATTTTTCTGCTTTCAGAAAAAAATGAACCCAAGGTGTCCCAAGGAAATTGTCTATTAATTTTATTAAAAATTCATACTTTTCAGAAAACTCTCTATACACAGAACAGAGAAGTAGGCTGCACAGCTATGTAGCTACCATTTACAAGTTGAATGGAAAAGCAAGAGAACATTTCCCATCATCTTCAATTTAGCAACAAAAATGACAACAATGATAACATCACTATATATTAAGCATGTGGCAGGTTCCAGCAATTTATACACATTTTGTCATATAATTCTCATAGCAACTCTAAAATGTAGGTATACCTTAAAATGTAGATGTTGTAGCTGAAAGTAATTTGACCTAGAATGCATGATTAATAAGATGTACCACTGGGATGCTAATTCCACCTAGTCTTTGGCTGCTTAGCTTTTTGATTTATATTAACCTAAGTCCACGGACACCAGAATAATATAAACTACATAGCTTTTGATAGCCAGTCAACTAACACCACCCAGGAAATTTCCATTTGTAGGGGCTGGCAAGATAGCTCAGCAGACTAAAGCGTCTGCTTAGGCAAGTGCAGGGACCAGAGTTTGATACCCAGCACGACATGCCACTCTAGCTCCACCCTCAGGCATGCTGAGTCAGGCAGAGTCTGGGCATGGTGGTGCATGCCTGTAATCCCAGTGCTGAGGAGCCTGAAAATAGGAGGATCACCATGAGTCTGAGCTGCATATTGAGATTCTGCCACAACCAAATACACATACACAAAAAACTTCCATTTTTACATTTAAAAAATTATAAAATACTTTTAAATTTAAAGAAGGGGAGAACATTTTAATGTCTTCTGGGAAGATGACAGAGCAATAAGCAGCAACAAATCAACCTTTCCAAGATTCAAAATGCAGACATTGGGTAATAGTAACTTAGGGAAGAGGAAAAGAGGTAGAAGCCCGAGAACCAGGAGGGATGTTAAGTGAAAATTAAGAGCCCAGAGAGAAAAGGAGGAGACAGATCTCAACACAGAAAAAGGAGGCAACAGAATACACTTTCTCCCTTTCTCCCAGCTCATGGTATGAGAGAGGACAGTTTTATCTATAGAAGCACAGGGAGGGTGGGTGATTCCAGAGGTCTCCAGGGAGAAATGTATCAGGGGAAAGGAGCTGTTGATGCTGTATTTTACAGTAGCTGGTGTGTGACTCCAGTCCAGGGAATGCTGTGTCCCCCTGAAAAGATGCTTGTCTGAGCTTCAATTTACAGAGAGGTCAGATGAACCTTGGGAAAAGTATAGCCATGTGTTGGCTTCGTATCAGGACTCTCAGGTTGAAATTCCTCTGTTGTCCTAGGATGACAACCATAGGGGATGTCCAGGGCCAGGAAGCTGTGTTCAAGCCCAGAGATACCTAGAGACGTATGCTGAATGGTTCAGATCTTAAACCAAAGACAAGAGGCCAGGATTAGTCTGAACACTTGTAGTTTTGTGAGTTTTTGTTTGTTTTATTAATTTTATTGAGAAACAAATAGTAATGAGACAGTTTCAAAACCTATTAGTAGCAGAGTTTCTTTTTTTTTTATTTTTAGTTGAAGTTTATTTTTGACATCAAGGACCAAACCAAGCATTTTGCTGAGCTAAATCCCCAGCCCCAATATGTATTTTTAACAATGCAAATCCTTTGTGTTACTACTTCTGGGATATAATAATGGTACAGGTTAAGGGGCCAGGAATACAGTTTAGTGGCACAGGCATGCCTTGTAAGTATGAAGTCATGAGTTTGATTCCCAGGACCAAAAATAATAAAAAGGTACAGTTTAAGCCAGTGGAATTCAGACACATAATTTATCAGGATACAAGGACATATGCAATAAAAGACAGAAATGCCATGGTAACACCTGGTCACTGCAGTATTCCGCAGTACATTCAACTATGCGCTCCTAAGAAGGTAATACACCAAACAGATACCACAGCATTAAATAGCTTACAATCATGTAATATCAAGACTTAGGTAAATTCACTCAAGATTCTGGACTTGACAGCCACCTTAATATTCTCCAATACTGTATTCTGATTATTGGACTCGGGACTTCATGCTTGCCAGGCAGGCACTTCAGCCACTAAGCTATCTCCCCAGCCCCCAATACTGTATTTTTGAAAACCAGTTTGCTCAGGTGGCTCTTAAGGAGGTAGAGTAACTTCACTGAGAATAACCAATTAAAAACCTAAATTCTCTAGAGAAGTAGACAGGTATGAGGTGGTGAGGGGAGAGGGCAGATCTGAAAGGGCTATCCCCTTCTCTCAGTTCACTATGGGCCAAAGGAACTTGGGCACAAGTCCACAAACTCTTAGAGAAGGCAGCTGGAATCCAAATAGCGAAGATATGGCTGAGTCTTCCCTGACCATATACCAGATGCTGGGCCAGTATGTAGGTGATGAAAAACTGTCAGACATGGAAGCTGCTCAGCACTCATGCAGGAAGGAGGCAGAAATAAAGCTATTGGGAGACTACATTTTAGGCAGGTGCTATGTGCTTTAGGAAGTAAAGGTGGGGCCCTTAGCTCCTTCCCTAGCACTGCAAAAAAAAAAAACCTAAACAGGTATGAGGTCACAAAGCCCGACAGCTTTGCCTATTATGTTAGCTGAGCAGAGATGATTTCGGTTTCTTTCAGTCCTCCTCCTGCTAGATCAGTGTTTAAATCTGTGGCCAAGAGGATGGAATACAAGGCACTTGCTGCCAAATTTTATACCACTCAATGACTGCATGTTCTCTTCATCCAGGCAAGGTAAAAGTGGCAGCGAGGACCTTTCTGAAGTTCTGTCTACCTCGTTCTTACAGGGTTGCTATCAGCACTGGATCTGGTTGAGGTCAATCCTCACTTGGCTACTTCAGAGGAAGAAGCAAAGGCTACAGCCAGCCTCACTGTGGATGTGATTGCTTCAAGTTTTGGTCACACAAGGGAAGGAGGGCACATCATCTATAACCAACTTCCTACTCCGAGCTCACCAGATGAGTCAGAAAACAAAGAATGTGTGAGAATTTAGGAAATACTGAATGCTAGAATATTTCACAATGGGAATTCCAGAGTTGCGAAGCATTTTGGGGGGACAGATATAAATGGCTATCTGGGTCAGTACTGCCTTAAAGAGAACATCTGTGCATTCCCACATTTGTAAAGTTTCCCATCTATTTTGGTGACCAATAATACTACTGTAAATGTTTTTCTTTTTTTTGCAGTTCACAAGGTATTAATATAGTATTATGTAAATTTGAAGAGATCATTGACCGGCGCTGAGAAAAGACAAGACGGGGACTCCTTCTTTGTCTTTAGACTTCTTTATTCTCTGGCCTTCCTCCTCCCCC